CCATATATAGTTTACCTCGCTACTCTGAATATTCACTCTGAAATAGCATATAGGTATGGCTTAGTAATAAGTGAAATTCCTGCAGCCTGTCGGCCAATCACTAAGCATACAATAGTGGCTTTAGGACAAAGCGTGCAAGAGCATGAGACTGATGAGTGAGACTGATGAGAAAGTGATGACTAGTTTGCTTGCTAACTACATAACTGAAAATGTGCTAGATATAACACAGTTTTTCATTCAAAATTGTAGTATTATAAAGTACTATAACGTTTTCTAACTGGTGAATGACATGAACTAGTGGGTCTCTGTCATCTCAAATGTGCGCGTTCATGATTTCAGGAGGCATGGCTTTGGATGACAGGGGAGCGATTGTATTTGAAAGATATTAAGCTAACCGGTTAGCATTTAGGCAGATCACCTACTGCACCTTTAAACCTGAATTTCCAGCATTACAATTTGAGTCTTCTTTGTAATGTCATCCTTCAAAAATAATTATAATAAGCATTTATGTTATGTTATCAACAATTATTATTTTAATTATCAATGTCGGAAACATCTTTTTCCTGCTTCACACATTTTTCAAATTGTATGAACAAACAAAAGCTCAAAATAAGACACACACACACACACACACACACACACACACACACAGTGTACAGACGAGACGCTCAGCTTGATAATAACTCTCCAGCAGCAGCAGATCTGCATTATTGATTCTCTTATTTTAGCAGAACTCTGGAGGAGGAATCAAATATTATATAAAGCCTCCATGAGTGATTCATTATTCACACACTGAACACAGGAGCAGGACACAAAAACACACACACACACACACACACACACACACACACGCACGCACACACTTCAAACTCCACACAGAAACGCCAACTGACCCAGCCGAGGAACCAGCAACCTTCTTGCTGTGAGGCGACAGCACTACCTACTGCGTCGCCATGTGTGTGTGTGTGTGTGTGTATATAATTTATTGATTTTTTTCCCAGCACTAATATATCTTAAATTCTCCAAACACCAACAAATAAAACATTTATCAAGCCTGAAGGTCTGGATGAGTTGATGAGATGTTCCTTTCCTCACCTCTGCTAGTTTGTACGGCACGATCAGTCTCTCTCCCACAGTCACTGTTTTGCGTGTTGTCAAAGCCTCAAAAAGCATCTCCTCCTTCACCTGCGCGACAAAACACACGCACGCGCACACGCACACACACACACACACACACACACACACACACACACACACACACACACACACACACACACACACACACACACACACACACACACCATCAGAACTGCGGATTATTTCATTGAACAACATTATTCTGAGGATGACTGTGGCAAGCAACAGGGTTCAAACGGTAATTCTGACTTTTTAATCCAGCAATACTGACTTCATCTGGTTGTTCCCTCTAGACATGTTTCTAGTAATTCTGAAATGACATCTTGCAGTTCTGGATTTACATCTCACAGTCATGGTCCTTCAAGCTGCAAAGCTTTAAAGAGCCCATATTATGGGTTTTTGAAAATTCCCCTCCATGTAGTGTGTAACACAGCTCTAAGTGAAGTGAAGTATCCAGCTAAGGCTTAAATCTGTAAGAATACAGTGTTTAAAACGGTTGATTCATCTATAAAAGAGTCGACTCATAGTGCTTCAAACGAGTCGCCTTGATACCGACTCATTAGGTGTTTCGCCATGACGTACGAACGAAACCAAGTTATTCACATGCACGCGCAAACCCGGGAGATTTCAAACCTGAGGCCCCGCCCTCTAACACAGAAACCCAGACACACACTCACAAACACACGCACACACACACACACACACACACACACGCACACAAACATGCCGGTGGATTGAAGTCACACTGCAGATGGATATATTGAGTCTCTACCCAAAGATGAAACCTCAGCATTATAGCCAAGCAGTTGGAAACTACTGGAAACTTCTGGAAACTACATGCTACAAAGAATACTTCATCAGCGTTTGTTAAAGGAAGGATCAGTAAAGAGTAACTTACAGCTGGACATCAGGATGGGTTTCTTCCTCCATTTCTCAAGTGTAAGTACGTGCGATTTAAAGTTGCCTCGTTGACTCGAGCTTGCAAATGTATTTAGTTGTGTTTTTGGTACCTGTAACCGAGTGTACCGTTTCCAGGTTAACTGGCTATATTTCTCTTATGGCGTGCAGTCACGTTAAAAACGCGACGCGTGCTGCTTTGTGTATGGAGCTCCGTGGACGAGAAGTGTGTGTGTCTGTGTGTGCGTGTGCGCGCGCTGTCGTCCAGAGGTGTGTGTGTTAGTTTGTGTGTGTGTGTGCGCGGGCGTTGTCGTCCGGAGCAGGGTTAAGTGCGTGTGTGTGTGTGTGTGTGTGTCTGTGAAAAGAGCAGAGTGAGAAGCTAGGAGATCTCCTCAACTGTTTTTGGAGTTTTTGCTCAATAAAATAGTCGTCTGAATTTTCAAGTCCATAGTCTGTATTTACATTGACCCACTGGCAGCTAAACTCCACGCCTACACTATCTAGCGTGTATGAACTGTGATTACTTTTATATTGCTGATTAGCTGTTTGGCATTTCACTCTCTGACTGAAGGCAGTCGACCAATCGCAACAGACTGTCATCGGTCCAATCAGCGCAGATTAGCTTCGCGCTAAGGAGGGGTTTGGGAACAAATGAATCACTGGACGATTCATACAGGAGTCGCTGGGATAATTAGGTAAAAATAAATGCAGATTATAAGACCATGAAAGTGTTTTTTTGACCTTGTATGCATATTAAACTGTTGTTGGAGACCCTTACAACCAAGATATGACCCTATTTCATGTATAATATGGGCTCTTTAAAACTGCGACTTCCAGTGGTGGACAGAGTACTGAAAAATCACTCATGTAAAAGCAACATTACTTGCCTAAAAATGTAGTGCAAGTGGAGTAAAAGTGTCTGTTGTAAGTATTAATTAGAGTAAGAGTGAAAAGTAGAGCTTTCAAGAGTACTCAAGTGTAGTGAGTAGTGAATATTACGCTATATGTAATGTGTGGATGTGTGTAAACGTGTAGTGCGTTTAGTAACTGTCCAGCAGGCACACAATATCATAGACCTTAATATTAGGTTAGATTTAGGTTGTGATGTCAGCTGACCAAAACTCAATGTCTAGCTAGAGTTTAAGAACGTTATTTTGATGACCAATAATGACGTCATTAGATGTTGATATTTGGTTGATTTAAGGTTGTTAGAAAGTGACTAAAATTCAACATCAAAGCCAAAATCTTAAACCAACATCATATTGACGTCATATACTGACATATATTCATCAGGTATGGCAACCAAAATCTGATACAACGTCTGATAGATGTCATAGTGGTAGCGTCCACACAACGTCAAGCTGTAACATCATTGGACGTTGATATTTGGTTGATTTTAGGTTGGACATTGACGTCACTCGTTCTAATGTCAACACAGTTTTCATTTCCAAATACAATGCTACGTCTCCACAACGTTAGGGTACAATGTCGATCTAACAACATATTGACGTTCTGTGTCTGCTGGATGTTTGAGGCCATTTCGGTCATCATACAGTAAACATCCGTCATCTCATCAGTGACCTGCACCTAATCAGTCTCTGGGTCAACGTGTGTAAAGATTTTGGACATCTTCTTGGACACTTTTAATGCTTCCAAACAGTCTGCTGCGATTATAAGTCGCCCAAGTCTTGAGGAAGTACATTATGAGGTGATTTACCTTCTATGTGTGATTTGATTGGACAGGAATCGCAGGACTGAATTTTCGAATCCCCATAGACAAGAGCAAATACAGTAGTGACAGCAGGTTGAAGGACAGTAGTGGAGTAAAAGTGCCGATACTGCAGTAAACATGTGCTCAAGTGAAAGTAAATGTACACATTTATAAAACTACTTAGCAAAGTACAATTCCTGAGAAACACTACTCAATTACTGCAGCTTGAGTATTTGTAACTAGTTACTTCACACCACTGGCGACTTTGTGAGTTACCTCCTCAGAAATGGGACGTCAGAAATGTTACCTTCCAATTTCAATTTCAAAATTGACTTAAGGGTTTAAGCAAACCTCGAGCACTTTTTTTGAGATTTGAACAGATCTATGTGTGTGTTGAGCATCAATTTCGACAAGATTAGCCCCCGTCAGCTTTATTTGTGTGGAAAACTGGATAATTTTAAGCTTTTGTCTGCTAATTTCATCTTCTGGCGGTAAAATCATGTTTGGGGTGGGATCAAAATCGTTTTTCAAATTCGTATTTCCGATTTCTGATCTGCAAACTTCAGAATATTTTACATCAATAAATTGTCATAAACCCTGTTGTACTGTATGTTGGGATGAACGACAAGCACATTTCCCACCGAGAAATTTCATAAAAGCCCACCATAAGAAGCCAAGACACATGAGCCTCCTCTAACATGCAAGTGTTTCCCTATAAAATCCTCAAATGCATATAAACATCTATTTTACCCTGTTAATTCCCACAAACTCCTGCTTTACTGCTGTGTGTGTGCATATCTGTGGTGGTTAGCAGTGCAACTCTTTACGCCAACATTATCATAAATGACTAAGACATTATAAAAAGAAAATTGACATGAGAAAACTAAAGCTCATAAAGCTGAAAAACTCTCAATAAACTCCACTTCAGTTTAAATCAAACGCCTCAGTGTGTATGGCTAAAAGACCATCAAGAAAAACCTTCAACACACGTTTAAGTGATTGGGATGGAGCTAAAAAAATTAAATATAACATTAAAATCAACATACAAAATGTATGATAGTTAAAAAATATTTCTCAAAAACATCAATTAAATAATAAAGTAATGATCAAATAATAATAAATAATCACTTATTAATAGTAATAATGAAATAATACATTATAATCAAGCTGAATATAAAATCAAATCTCTATCAATCTAAAATCAAATACTATAACAGTGAACAAACGCACACGAGCTGACGTCAGCATGAACTCAATTAATTTAGAAATGTGTGTGAATCAGCTATCATCAATCATTGTTCTTGTTTGCAGACCCGGACAGTAATAAAGGCGGTCTCACCTCCAGCAGTTCAGAGACGATGGGAAGCACCTCTGGATTACAGATATCGATGGAGTCATCACGAAACGTTTTCTTCTTATAGCGGATATTTCCCAGGTGAAGAATCGCAGACAGTAACGAAAAGATCCTGACCAGAACGAAACATTTCTGAATCAGAAATACATCATAACAGAGAAGGCAAAACACTGACAGAGAAAAACATCCTAAACCCCGCCCACTGAAGTCATATCAGCCAATGAGAAATCAGTAGAGTGACTGACAGGGAAAACTACAACTTCAGAAAAACATCTGCCAGAAAAACCCCGCCCACTAAAGTCACATCAGCCAATGAGGAATCAGCAGAGTGATTGAAATGTAGAACTATAACTTCAGAAAAACATCAGCCCCATAACCTGACCCACTAAAGTCACATCAGCCAATCAGAGATCTGCAGCGACCGACAGGCGAAACTGTAACTTCTGAAAAACATCAGTTTCAAAACCCCGCCCACTTAAGTTACATCAGCCAATGAATGATCAGCAGAGTGATTGACACGCAGAACTGCAACGTTTGAAAAACATCAGCCCCAAAACCCAGCCCACTAAAGTCATATCAGCCAATCAGAGATCAGCAGAGTGACTGCAGGCGGAGCTGTAACTCCCAAAACCCCACCCACTACAGTCACATCAGCCAATGAGTGACCAGCAGAGTGACTGACAGGCAAAAACTACAACTTAAGAAAAACATTAGTGCCAAAACCCCGCCCACTAAAATTACATCAATCAATCAAAGATCAGTAGTGACTGACAGGTAGAACTAAAATTTCTGAAAAACATCAGCCCATAATCCTGCCCACTACATTCAAGTCACATCAGCCAATGAGTGAGCAGCAGAGTGATTGACAAGCAGAACTGCAATTTCTGAAAAACATCAAGCCAAAAACCCCACCCACTAATGTCACATCAGCCAATGAGTGAGCAGCAGAGTGATTGAGGGCAGTAACTCACTGTTTCCTTGTGGTGGGCAGAAACCCCACCATCTCCATGGCCAGCTGGAGACGCTCGAAATCATGCTTCAGATCCTCAGCCTCCACTGAGAAACAGTCCTGAACACACATACACACACACACCTTCAGTTCATGACACACCAATTTAGAGAAAATATTCACACAAGACTTCATGTTGGAGCTATTACTCTGATAAGAGAGGCATGAGTAAAATTACAGAAAAAAATATTAAATTGTAAATAAGTACCATTAACATTGAAAAACTAGTAACTTTGGCCAATGAAAATCAATCAATAAATCAATCAATCAGTAAATGCATTACTTAATTTACAAAAACACAAACTTGTAAGATTTTTATTTTTGAAAATCAAAAATAATAGATAATAATGTTGAAATTTAAAAAAAAAATAACATTTTAAAATGCAATAATTAATATAATCCAATAAAAATAAAGAAAATAAATCTGTAATATAAAAATTAAATAAATAAAACAATCAAATAAAAAGAAAACCATTTTAAACAAAATGCTATAAAAATAGCTAATTAAAAATAAAATGCAGCAGCAAATGAAATGTTCTGTGCTGTCTAGGAAGGGAGAACTTCAGCTAAACGGTGATATGACGATGTGAATCAAGAGCTTTATTAAATGCTGACACACACACACACACACACACACACACACACATACACACACACACACACACACACACACACTACTGACCAGCTCAGTGTCACAGTGATTCCCCCAGTGCTGCTTGTGGACAGACTTTGTGATCTGTAAAACAAACAGACGGTCATCTGTATGTGTATACAAAGATAATAATAATAATAATAATAATAATAATAATAATAATAATTTAAAAAAAAGTTAAATATCTAAAGTACATAGTCTAATAATTTGTATTTTATAAATTTGAATCGCTCAACAGTCTTTAGTGTTTTATTTTTTGTTCAAATGAAAATCCTCCATCCACAATAATGTTTGCTAGTTGAAATAAGCAATAATAACCAAAAAAATAATATATAGACTTTTTTTTTGCTATTTTTATAATATTTCATAATTTATATTCAGTTTAAATTAAAACAAAAATAAACTAGAAACAAAATAAAAGCAATTGAAAGCAAACAAATAAACCAACAAAAATCACAAAAACACAAATGACTAAAAATATATAAAACAACAGAAATCTAAAAGCAAAACATTTTGAACAACTAAAACCTGCAATATTTGCACAAAACTTAAATTACACTTAGTATAAATATAACACCAATACAGTGTGTGTGCGTGTGTGTGTGTGTGTGCATGTGTGATGATGCCGACCACTGTCACCATGACAACAGCATCAGCAGCTCAGTGTGTTTGTGAGATTATAGTGCAGCTTTCCAAAAAATGAGCTTATCAGAGGGTTTCTGCTGTACTGTATGATATGAAACACACACACACACACACACACACACACACACACACACACACACACACACACACACACACACACACACACACACACACACACACACACACACGCACACGCACGCACACGCACACGCACACACACACGCATACACACATACACACATACACACACACACACAGTACCTGATTGAGGTAATGATACTCCTCTGGTCTGAGCAGATGAAATGACTCCTCTCGTCTTCACTCGCTCCGGCCAGCAGGTAATAAAACACATGATAATTCCTGAAGAATGAAGACCAAAGAGGAGATATAAAGACACATCAGCACCAAAACCCAGCGCACTAAAATCACATCAGCCAATCAGAGATGAGCAGAGTGATTGACAGGCAAAACTGTAACTTTAGAGAAAATCAGCCCCAAACCCTGCCCACTAAAGTCGAGTCAGCCAATTAGAGATGAGCAGAGTGATTGACAGGCAGAACTGTAACTTTAGATAGAAACCTGCACCAAACCCCTCCCACAAAAGTCTCATCAGCCAATAAGAGATCAGCAGAGTGACAGATAGGCAGAACTGTAACTTTAGAGAAAATCAGCCCTAATCCCCTCCCACTAAAGTCTCATCTACCAATCAGAGACCAGCAGAGTGATTGACAGGAGACGCACCTCTCGTTGTGCTCTTGATAAACCAGTCGAGATTTCTCCAGCAGATACTTCTCCACATACGCTCTGAAATCAGCAAATAACAGAAACATTCGTCACAATCAAACATAATCATCACAAACCCTCCACACACAAACTCTGAATCAGTACTAAATACAAATATATTAGCGTTTCATAAATACATTTATTAAATAATTAAATATTTCATAAAAATTATTTAGATTTTCTCAGTTGCACAGTAAATTTAACCATGAAATGATACAACTTTCTGAATTTCTACAAATTAACCATTAAACTAGCATTGTTAATGCCCGGTTAAAATATTACCAGTTTCTGAACATTTACAAAGGGATTTTAGTCATGCACCATCATTTTACATTGTTTTTAGACATGCATCGATCAATAACAATGTTTTTCAATAGTTTACCTTGTTACATCTGCCACAGCAATACCATGTTTCCACACAAGCACCACAGCATTCATGTTTTTTTAAGATTTACCATTGAAATACCATTTCTTGGTACTTTTTAAAACGTTTTTTAACGTTTACCATGATTTTTAAATAATTGCAATGGCATTTTTCCAGACATATACCACAGTATTCCCATGCTTTTGGTCAAGGACTATAGTAATCCCATGACTGGACTGGACTCACCCTCTGACGGTGCCGCTCTCCTGGTAGTTGACTTGGATGAACTTGCCGAAGCGGCTGGAGTTGTTATTATGGGCTGTTTTAGCGTTTCCAAAAGCCTGAGGAGGAAAAACAAACACATCACAGATCATATCTGAGGGGTTCGAGATGGTTGCTATGTGGTTGCTAGAATGTTTCTAGGTTATAGCTATGCGGTTGCTATGCAGTTGCTAGGGTGTCCCGTAGTTTGTGGTTGACGGGATGTTCAAACTGAATGGGATGCGGTTGCTAGGGTGTGCCTAAGTTTTTGTTACGTGGCTATTAGGGTATTCAGGATGGTTGCTATGAGGCAGCTGTGGAGATTTGGGTGGTTGTAAGTCATTGTTCTTAGTAGCTACAGTATTCAGATGGTTGCTATGCAGTTGCTAGGGTGTGTCAATGTGATTGCAGTGAATTTACTTGGGTTTTGATGTCTGCTATGTTAGGGTGTTTTGTGTGGTTGCTAGGGCTTATCTACAGTAACTCCTTACTTTGCATTTGCTAGGGTGTTCAGAATGGTTGCTATGAGTTACTAGGGTGTTGCAAAGGTTCATCTACAGTGACCCATTGCCATGTGGTTGCTCTGTGTGTATATGTGTGTGTGTGTGTGTGTGTGTGTGTGCTCTAATGGTTTCTGCCCTCTGCGTTTGCTCTATAAAGCAGTTTCTCTGTGTTTTCTGTCAGCACAGGCCGCAGTTCAGCAGCAGGAAGCCAGAGGCGCATTCACACTGTCACTTCCTGTTAGCTGACAGAATAAGAGCGCAGTTTCCCTTGGAATGAATGAGCAGTGTTTACTGAGGACTGCAGACTGACGGCTTCATTACAGAAACACTCGTGCTGCAGTAATCACGATTATTCTGTTTCTGACACTAATGATAATCACGTTAACTGGATAATTAAACAGCAGACCATCAGCTCTGGCCTGCAGACACAAACACAGCTTTAACAACACATTTACTGGATGAACATCACAAACATACGCAGGAAGATAGACTGTATGGCTGGAGGGGATAAAAAAATAATAAAACAATAATAATTTTTTTTAATATTACAGAAATAATTTTATATTAAATTAAAAATAATAATAATAATTATTATTATTATATATATTTTTAAATCATTTAAATGATTACAAATATTTAACATTTAAAATATAAAAGTAAAAATTACATTTAAAATGCTGAGAAAATAAAAATACATTGAGATATTTTAACGTTTTTCTAATATAAAATAATGAATATAAAATATAAAGAATAAATATTTAAATATAAAATTTCTAATAATTTAATATAAAATATATATTTAACCCCTGAAATAATTCAATATATAAAATTAAATGTTTAAAAACCTGCAGTATAGTTTAGATTCAAATACAAGTTAAACAATTAAATTAAAATGGCACATATTTTAACATCAGACAAATTTTATAAGGCAAGGTTTATTTTACATTTAAATATAAAGAATTAAGTGAAATATATTTAAATACATTTAAACAAATGTTTAAAATACTAAAATATTAAAATACTAAAGATTTAAGAAATGTTTAACATTTTTACTTTATATTTCAGAACTAAAAACAAATAAAAATTATATTGCATTTGTTTAATAAAATAAAAATACATTAACCCATTAATAACATTATAAATATAATATAATCTAATTTAACAATATGATATGTATATGTATATATCAGAAAAAACTCTTCCAACTACATCCGTTTACATCAGTGAGAGTTAAATGACTGTTTGCATTTAGCTCATGTAATAATACTCACAGAAAAAAGACAGTACTGAACACATATGATATATAGGTCAACACACACACACACACACACACACACACACACACACACACACACACACACACACACACAGCATGCAAATACAGAAAAGCATTTATGCTTTGCATGTATATTTTGCCCAGGGCTGAACCTGACATTAACTACATGATAAAGTCTTACAATCACAAAAAGGTCAGTTGATTCTAGATGAAAACATGATGCTTCTAAAACACTGACCGGTCCTTGCAACTAAATGCGTTTCGGAAAGAATATATAGCAAAATAATGAATGAACGAAAGAATAAATAAACAAATAAATAAATAAAAACAAAATTAAAAATTTTAAATAAATGAAATTAAAAATAATAGAAAAATTAATCAAATAAAACCTACATCTGATGTGAATAAGAAATGCAGAAAATGTAATCACAAAAATAAATATAAATGTTCAGTTCTTCATTATAAGCCTCAACCTTCAGTTCTGCTTCACCAGGGGAACTTCTGCACACACAAACACAGGCTAAACGAGGATATAATAGAGACTTCTTCTGTTTTATAATTGGATGCTGTTAAAAACAAAACCACAAACTGTACCTAAACAGCAACATTTGCATTCCAGAACAACAAACACACAGTTGTTCTCTAACGTGATGTACTGTAGATCAGGAGAAAGTGGCATTAAATGACAAACACAAGACAGCGCTGATCATCCGATGAAGACACCGCTAACTACTAGTTTTAACACTGGTTATTGAATACTGTTGTAGAAAAATAAAAAGTGCACATTAAGACAAACACAGAAAGAAATTAGATTAATATCAAACTGAATTGAGTAGAAACTGTTTTAATGAATTCAATGTGCTGCAGACAGAAATTCTGCTCACTGCAGATGTGGTCGAACGATAAGGATGACATATAAACGGTAGAAATTTGTCAGATCATCTAAAATTCTGATCTCATTTGAGCTGCTCTGCGGACGAAACTCAATCTCACATTCAGATTCCCTCGAGAATGCTGACAAAGAGACCAAAAAAACCTGAGAAACAGAGGAACAGATGCTTCAGGAATCATTCTAGACAACTGAGCACAACAGAAACTTGATGAAATGTTCTGGATGGTTGTTATGCTGTTGCTAGGGCATTCTGGGGGGTTGCTATGCTGTTCTTAATGTGTTGCTATCCAGCCATAAGGGTGTTGTGGGTGGTTGCTATTGTCCTTTAAATGGTTACAGTGTTGCGATCAAGCCATCAGTATGTTGTGGGTGGTTGCTATGCTGTTGCTATGGTGTTCTAAGTCGTTACGGTGTTAACAGCCGGTGTTAAGTCGTAACATTAGGATGTTGTTAATGGTTGCTATGGTGTTTATAAGTGGTTACAATGTTGCGATCCAGCCATTAAGGTGTTGTGGGTTGTTGCTATTGTGTTTTAAGTGGTTACAGTGTTGCCATCCAGTCATTAGGCTGTTGTGGGTGGTTGCTATGCAGTCGCTATGGTGTTCTAAGTTGTTACAGTGTTGTGATCCAGCCATTAGGATGTTGTTAATGGTTGCTATGGTGTTATAAGTGGTTACAATGTTGCGATCCAACCATTAAGGTGTTGTGGGTTGTTGCTATTGTGTTTTAAATGGTTACAGTGTTGCCATCCAGTCATTAGGCTGTCGTGGGTGGTTGCTATGCAGTCGCTATGGTGTTCTAAGTTGTTACAGTGTTGCGATCCAGCCATTAGGATGTTGTTGATGGTTTCTATTGGTGTTCTAAGTGGTTACAGTGTTGCTATCCAGTCATAAGGGTGTTGTGGGTGGTTGCTTTGCAGTTGTTTTTGTGTTTTAATTGTTATGGTGTTGCTGTCCAGTCATTATGGTGTTGTGGGTGGTTGCTATGCAGTCGCTATGGTGTTCTAAGTTGTTACAGTGTTGCGATCCAGCCATTAGGATGTTGTTGATGGTTGCTATGGTGTTCTAAGTGGTTACAGTGTTGCTATCCAGTCACTAGGGTGTTGTGGGAGGTTGCTATGGTATTCTAAGTGGTTACGGTGTTGTTCTCCAGTCATTATGGTGTTGTGGGTGGTTGCTATGATGTTCTCCACGGTTACGGTGTTGCTCTCTAGTTCCTAAAGAGTTCTGAGTGGTTATTACAGTATTACAGGTGGTTGCTATGCAGTTGCTAAGGTGAATAATAAACATCAAGCATGCAGGTAAAATTCACTTGCTGTAATTTTAGTAGAGAAAAGATAAACAAATTCCCCTTTCCTGGACAGCAATGCTTTAAAGCTTGCACAACACCAGCATTAGATGATCAGTAGAGTGTGTTAAAACGGCTGCGTTTCCCTAACGTTCCTCTAACATTGGCTGGGTTGTGCTGAGGTTGTTTATGCTACGGTGAGCTAGCAAACATTTAGCATCTCTGTGGAGGTTCATGAGAGCGTGAAGCAGAATCACTGAGACTCCATACAAGCCTGAAGGTCTCGTCAAACACAGCGGCTCATTCCAGCTGAAGTGCATTATAGTGTGTGTGTGTGTGTGTGTGTGTGTGTGTGTGTGTGTGTGTGTGTGTGTG